ATAAGTAATATTTTTTGCCTCAGCTAATAAAGCATATTGGCATATCTTTAACGAAGATTTAAAACCCCAAATTTTCTTTGAAAGTAAATTTTTAAAGAAGACATATGTCCATTGATTAAAAAATAATTAAACCTGATATCCTGATACTAGGTTTCCATTATCTAAGTAAAAGCACACCTCTTATTTTTCATGTTGGAAAATAGCTACACAATAAAACTAACCACAACAAAAAAATCACAGTGCTGTATTGATGACGTTCTTTTCCAATAGTTTTAATCATCCTTATTTTCTGTTATAATGTTATTTATTTTTCCCTAGTACTCACCAAAGTCCCAATTTTCCCTTCAGATTATCCTTAGAAGGGAGGCAAAATTAAGGTTTATGCACAAAATATCTGCAGAACGATTGATCTCGGGTTAATTAATGGACAAGTGTTCAAATTAATACTCAGGTAAAATTTATAAAACCAGTACTTGGATATAAGACAAATTTATCTTCGTTTTGATTGATAAAACTAAACCTGTGTGCTCATGAATATGTTAATGATTTTCTATGTCACTAAATTGTAAGGAGAGGGGCACTCTTATAGGCCATCTAATTGCTGTTTAACTATACCACTGCTATTTAATACAACAAATGATATGCTCAGAAATCATCATGGATTCATGAGAAACACCACTGAGCTCAGGTTAACCTACACCTAATAGATAAATAACTACAGATTTATACAAAAGCTTATGCTATATTAACATTTTTAAATTAAAAAATATGTTCCATGTTAAGGGGAATGAAATTTCTCTGACAATTTGACTCTATTCAACAATCTCAATTAATACTGAGCTATAGCCTCAGTATCATAGGGATTATTTATTTGTTTGTTTGTTTATTTAGATTTATGTTAGGTTGAGTTGACATTTTTGTCCTTTTAATTATAGAAAGATAAAAAACTTACACATTTATTTAAAACAATGAAGGAATAAAAAGATAAACTTTGTTTTACATTTTAAAAATAAATACACTACTGTGACTACTTTGAAAACAATAATATACTGGTGAGTTAGTTTTATATAATATTGTCTCTTTCAAATAGACAAAATAATTTAAGGAAAAAAAGGAAGACAAATGCTCTAGGAAAATATTTGCAACTTGTTGTTTGATAGTAATACTAATAGCGTAGTAGAACATAGACCTTAATTCAGTTCAAAACCAGTGACTCTACTTTATTTTTTAATAATAGAAAGTAAGGCTTTTATTGTGTTTTTTAAAATTAAATTCACTTCTTCTTGTTTGATAAAACTTATTAAATTAAAAAAAGATTAATTTAATTTTGAGATTTCTCAAATATGGGAGAATGCAAGGATTATTTGATCTAACTTAATTTAATGAAATATATTATAATCCTCATCAGGCATAAAAATAATATGAATTTATAGATGACTTTTCTGTTTAAATGGAAATTGCAATAGAATGTATAAAAATATATTTCCTATTATTTAAATGAATTTTGTTGATTTAATCATCACACATCTAATTCATAGTTTGTTTTTTCCTAAATCACACTAGCTCAATATTCATATTCCAAATTTTACAGCTAAATATAGTCTACTTATTATTTCTTCAACTTTATACTTGAAACTAAGGCTACATATCTTCAAAATTATAAACTAACTTATAAGTAGTTAAACTAAAATTAAGGTGTGAAAACTATCCATATACACTTTGCGTTGCATAGCTGCTACTGACAAAAGAATTTAGGCAGCAATGTTTGTCTATGTGAGTGAATGGAAAAATGATTGAGATATCTGGTTAGTATAAGATGTGATTTTGTATTTTTGGTAAATTTTTATTTTCCACTTAATTGCATCAGCACATTTTCTGACATTAAATGAGAGGATTTTTTGACATCATTTAATGGTGCAGCATGATAGAAGTACTTCGGTAGAAAACAGAGCTCCCCAGAGAGATTATAAACATTTATAGTTCAGGCATGGACTTCAAAACCAGTCACTGACAAATGTTTTAAATAGTTGTGTACTGATTTTCCATGTTAGTGTGTTCTCTGACAGTCTGATTGAGTCAAGAATTAAGAGGTGCTACAAACTTGACTCTCCGGATGTCTTTCTTTTTAACACCATTGCAATGCTGCAGTTTATGGGTTTAAAGCTTCTCTGAATACTAAACAAAGATAAGGAATAAAGCCAAAGACTTTAAACAATATTCTTCAAATATACTTGTTTTCTGAAAAGTTGACACCATAATCATTATATCTGTAAAAACAGAATTATTTTTTCAAGCTACATTCAAAGCCATAGAGAGCATGCAATGTTTTGCTTAGTGAATCCATGTTTTGATCCTTTAAAATTATTTTGCTAATTTTTCTATGAAGTTCTAAGACAATTGTTAAAAATTAAGTTACTGTCAAATTTTAACCATGTAGATAAGAATTTAAAGCAAAATATTGTTATGTTTCCAAATGATCTAAGTTAGAAATATATAATAATGATATTAACTAAAGTTTCATGAGTTTCTGTGTTTATCAAAGAACTTTTTCATATTAACATAAAGCATATAAGATAATCTTTTTTGTCTTAATGTTATTTTGAATTTTTTAATGAAATTCAAACTTCTGTTATGCTTGAAAAATAATGGTATAATACTTACATGTAAATGTAAAGTTTCTCATAAATAGGCTAAGTGTTCACTCCATTTCAATCTCATTATATCCTAGGCATCAGCAGTGAGTAAAGGACATACACGTTGTCATTCTTTAACTTAATTTTTAAAACTACAGACCCAGTTTTAATTTATTTTTATTTTTATTTTTCTATTTTTTCAAAGTGAATGGTTTTAATAATTCTAAAATGTAACATAATTTAACTAATAAAGTAACATTTGGTATGTACTAGATCTCTCTCTCTCTCTCTCTATATATATATATTAAAATATATATATATATATAAATATATATATTAAAGGACCTTGTAGCAATAACCAAAGCATACCTCTTAAAGATATTGAATATTGTAGGTAAGACATATTTTAGCTCACATTATTCATGTCATTTCTCAAATCAGTGTTTCATTTTACATGTTTAGAACTGGACTCATACTCTGTGCATTGATTTTATGATGCTACAGGGAAATATCATCTAGAAAAATAAATTAATTCTTTATGGCAGAAAGCACGCATGGATGCTCTGACATTCTCTTATTAAAAAGAGGAAACATCACAATATAATATATGAATTTTATTTCAAACTTTCAAACATTTGAAATGTTTATTCAGACATTATTTTCTCAAATAATAAGTATTTGCCTAGTGACCCTCATTCATTGTTCATTGCCTAGTATTTTTAACAGTATTTTTTAAAAAAATAAAGACAATAATCTAATAACTGTTAATATAGTCACAAAAATTTAATTAAATTATGCAAGGAAATTATGAGGTTTTGGTTAGCAACTGAATAAAATTAGAGAACTTTGGGGTGGTCTTTATGATAAAACATGACATTAATATAATACTTCCTAAGAAAATAATTAAATTAAAAATGATGCTATTTTAATGTTTGTTACTAACCCATAGCATTGGGTTAGCCATTTAATGTGTTCTTTCCATTTCCTCCTCTAGTTATCTAATGGCAATTTACAAGGTCACATTCTAAAAACACTTTTTCCATTTCTACCCATGTGTCAGGGAACCCAATACAATTAATAATGGAAAGGAGATAAGGAATCAGCCACAATATTTTTAAAGAATCACAAAAATAAGACTTCATTGAAGTTTTCATTATTTGGAGAAATTTGTGGGGGAAAATGAGTAGAAAATTACCAAGGAGTTACTCAGAATGTGTGACTAAGTGTAGGATTTCGCCATTGAATAACATTCTGCAGAGCATAATTTCATTTAGCTAAGAAGAGATATGTAAATTATATCAACCAATATGATTGAACCCCTATCTGATGTCTATTTTTTTCTTAGCAACCACTTTGTGATATCTCTATACCAACAACTTACTAACTAGACACGAGTTTCTTAGTGTCCAGGACAGTCTGTACTATTGAAAGAAGCATTAACAGATGTTTCATCTCCACATTTCAGTAAGTTTTATCCTGAAAATTCTTTCTTTTAAAATACACATTTTAATTGTTCTGTTTAATAACCTGACATACTCATCTGGGAAACCTTTGTTCTTTTCTTTATTCACAGTTATCTCAATATCACACTGTTTCTAAAAAAAGATTACAAAGGAATACCAGACAAATCAAAGTAACACATTCTACTAGCTAAAGAGATTTGAAATTAGAGTTAATATAGAAATCTCAATATTTTCTCAACCCTAGCTGTTTTTTTCCCTTTGTAGCCCACCCCATCATCCAGTAGAGCGGAAACTGCTCAGGGATAGCAAAAGAGAAGTTTAAAGACTTCTGGCAAAAACGAACAATGAAAATTCCATTAGTTCAATAGTTAGAGATAGAGGTGAAAGACAAATAGAAGGCAAATATAATAAATCCAAAGTGATTACTTTTCTTTAAATACTCCATTGCATTCAACTACAGATTGAGTGAGATTCGGAGACCCCATAAGTAATTATTCTTTCAACCCTTTCTTAGAATACTGATTATGCGGAAAGTTTAAAGACCCTTCCTGGGGGAGGAAAATGTTTTCCAGCTGTCAAAACTCAAGCTTGGTTAATAGTAGAACTAATTTTAAAAGGCATTGTTCCCAAATTTAGATATTTGTTCAGCAGTATGTCTTTTAATCCACTTAGAATTTTATTGCCAAATTTATTTCCCAGAATTTCACTGTACATAATATTGTCTACTAGTAAAAGATTTTGTATACATTTTGGGGTAATAAACTGTAGTTTCTCTAACATGAAGTAAATGAGGATATGTTTCAACATTACTCCAATGCCACTAGATTCTGTAGTAGAAACATGGTCAAAACTGGATAAGAACACTACTCAGAATAAACATAGTTATTTCGTAAAATGCACTTACCCAGCACAGCTCCTAAGGAAATGCTTGGTGAAATATTCTTAGGATGGAATTTGATTTGCTAAGATTCCGCAGAAGAGATTTACCCCCAGGCAAGGTGGGGAAGAGTGAAAGCCTTGCAAAGTGATCCTGGAGGCAGGGTGAGGTCCAGGCAGCAGTGCTTGATGATCCTAACGCAGGAGGTGACACTCTGCTGGAGAGAGGGTTGTTCTGAGTAGATTGGAAGTGTTGTCACATTGTATGTGCTCAGCAGCAGAAGGGAAACATCAGAGCTTCCTGTTACATCACTCTGACCCCGCCTGCAGTTAGTGTAAGGTTACTTTCTTTCTCAAATAGCATACCCCAGGAAAGCAGCACTCCTTTCTGATTCTCACACAAGAGCAAGAAGCAGCCTGAACAGACAGAGATCATATGCTCTATGAATACATTGTTAGCAGCAAAAATTGGCGGGATTTCACCTTGACTGAGTTGTTAGAACTTGCCAAACAGAGCTGCCTGTTATTTGAAGGAAATCTGAATATCATGCTCTGTTCAAAGAATTAAAGGAGTTAGGGAGAGTGTGTGTGTGTGTGTGTGTGTGTGTGTGTGTGTTGAATTATACTTTACAAAATATCCAAGGAATTTTTTTTTATTTAACATGTCTTTCTTTATAAATGAAAAGAAAAATAATAAATGCATCATTATAATTAATTCTGTGATCCAACTCTTATTAATTTGGAGCTCTAATAATCAGAGCTATTCCCTGGTCCACTTTCCACAATTAAATGAAGAAACTTTATCCTGTAGATTTTAAAACTTTTTTTTTAAATGATTTTTTTTTTATTTAAATGATTTGTTCATGATATTAGTATGTGTGTATTTCTCATAAACAAAACCATTGTGTGTGTAAATATACATATATAGAATTATTTTTCATTGTATGTGAGTATATATATTTGAGAAAATAACCTTTTGTGAACATATTCATAAATTTAAAATAATTGTACATATTTTTTAAATATTTGACTTAATTGTTATCATCTGTAAACTAAAACAGTAACTTATACTATATTTGTACCTCACAATAGCCTCAACAAAAATGCATATTTATAAATATAATGTTATAAAACAATTAAAAATATGCAGCATACATTAATTTTTAAAAAAACTTTTGCCTCAAAACAAAATTGTATTCTAAATGTACTTAATAAATCATTAGAAATGATCAAGGAAGAAAGTTTTGAATTTGAAATGCACTTGTCTTTTGATACTAGTAAATGTGTGAAGATACAATAATAATTATAATTCCTGAAACCTAAACAGCATTATGTCACTTAATTTATCTGAGCATCAGTTTTCTTATCTGTAAACTACAAGAGATGGATCAAGTAATATCTGAAACCCCTTATATCTCTAAGACTTTGAATCAACAAATTATATAATATTTATAAATAAATAAGATATTGTGGTGATTATTCCATTCTTAGTAAATTTGAGATCAGAGGGACTGAGAAATTGGTAAATTACTGCAATTCTGGAACAAAACGAGATGCTCACACTCCTCATAGACTAACAAAGGAGGATGAGGCAACGTAAGTTAAAGGGATATCATGTTTCTGAAGCACTCTGCTCCTGTTTGCATTTTATTACCTGGATGCATGGAAGAAGCTTATTACACAATCTTTGATTTTTAAGATCAGTAAGATCAAGATCAATAAAAATAGATACATATAAAAATAGAATACATACTATTCTCTATCAATTAGAGTTAAGAGACATATAAGAAACTGAGTTATACCTCCTTGGTTCCTGAGTGTTAGAAAAATTACCACGGAATTAAATTGCCAGGTTATGGAATATTGTATTCCCACTTAGGACTTGGTTTGCTTTGCCTTGGGAGATGGCTGAGATGCGTTTCATTTTGAGCTATTTTCTTCAGCCCATGGGAAGAAAAGTCAGTAATGCAGATTCTGAGTGGCTCCACAAACAATAGCTCTTTACTCAAAATACCAATATAGGTGGTACCAAGTGAAAGCTTTGCTAAGTTCTGCTGTGGAGGGAGCACGCTGCTCAGGGAACCATTAAGAATGAAGTAGAAAACACTGGGATGGGACAACGACACGTGCAATTCCAGTCCTTGTTCTCATACTTCCTTGTGTGACCTTTGACAAAACATTTTAGGTCTTGGTGTTCCCATCTTAAAATTCAAAGCAGAATCAAATACTAGATTTTAATACGTGAATCATCACCGTCTATGTGTTCTCATCTCCAATGCTTGGTACAATATCTGAAGAGATATCTAATCCCTAGAAAAAGATCAATATATAGCTTTTTAATTTAAATGGTGAAAAACTGAAACTTTTCCCAGTAAGTTTGCAAAAGTACTAATATATCTTCCCAAAGATTATTTAATTCATTTACCCAACTCTAGTAAAGTCTAGTGAATGAAAACAAAACAGAACAAACAAACCCACAAATCTATGCTTTCTACTTATGTCATAAGACTGTTAGATCTTAAATGAATGATCTTTCTTCTTTACTATACGTCAAGTGCTATACTAACTGGGAAAGCTAATAGAAGTTATTGTATTTACATTGAAATTATTGGTCAGCTACATGGTTATAATCAACGAAGACTCTTATATAATTTTTATCAGTATCATCTATAGGTCTTATTTAAAAAATAATAGGCAAATTATATTTCACTGATCAGACCCTTACGAGTTGCCATTTTATAAACTCTAGATGAAATAAATGGCTTGAGGACTTTCAGGAGCTGCTCTGGATATGGAGGGATGAGTGCAAATATGGATAATGCAAATTCCTCAAATACATACTAAGATATGACAATAAATATTTGGGAAAATGCAGTTGAACAAAATAAAAATATTTCAATAATCAATGAAGTGATTCTTAGCGAATGTGGCATTAATCAATACATCACCTCAGTCATATATATATATATATA